AAATGAAAGGGGGAGAAAAATGAAAGGGGGAGAAAAATGAAAGGGGGAGAAAAATAAAAAGGGGAGAAAAGCAGAAGGGAGGAGAAATAAAAGGACGGGAGGAAAAATATAAGGGGGAGGAAAAATTAAAGGGGGGAGAAAATATAAAAGGAGGGAGAAAAAATAAAAGGGGGGAGAAAAATAAAAGGGAGGAGAGAAAATAAAGGGGGGAGAGAAAATAAAGGGGAGAAGTAGAAGGGAGAAAATAGAAAGGAGGGGAGAAAAAATAAAAGGGAGGGAAATAAGAAAATATAGAAAATAGGGGAAAATAAAGAAAAATAGGGTAAAGTAAAAGGAGGGGAGTAAAAGGGGAAATAAAAAAATAAGAGAGGAGGAAAAAAAATTAAATGGGGAGAATAAATAAAGGGAGGGGGGGAAGAAAAGAGCCGGTGGTGGAGCGGGGATCCGAGCGGGACGTGGCGGGGCCGGGGCCGCGGCCGGAGGCGGGGGGTCCGTGTCCCCAAAGCGGCGGCACCCCCGCGCCCGTGCTCCGTCCCCGCGGGAGCCTTTTATGTGCTAATGAAACACATTGCATGCCCCGGTTCACAACGTGTGTGTCCTTGGCGTATAGAGACCGACACATTGCAGCCCTGGAGCCCGGTTTTTGTTTTTGGGAGGGTTTTTTTTTTTTTTTCCCCCCCCCCCCTCCCCCCCCCCCCCCCCCCCCCCCCGGCCACCTCTCCCTTTTCTCCCCTTTTCTCTTCCCGCGGACAATGCGGAATTTTAAGAAGGATTTGAATGTTATTTCGGGAAAGCAACATCTATGAGCGCCGTAAACGCGTGGGAAAAACAACAAGTGGTTGGGAAGACGGGGGGAAGAGGGGAGAGGAATGAGCGGTCCTGCGTGGCCGGGGGGTGTCGGTGGGCACCCGGAGGGTCCCGGCGGTGGGGCTGGAGGCTCGGAGAGCCCGGGAGGTGCTTAAAATAAACGTGTTTGCTGCGGTTAAAATAAAGCTCTTCGGGTTTTTCGCCGCCGGTTTATCCCCCCC